CAATGGTTTCATATTTGGATGTCAAGGCAGAGTATATTAAAACTCTTGGGAATGGTAGTAATCTAAACCTCCCTTCAAACTTACCATTACCGTGTTTCCCTGAAAATAAGACAGAGTCTTGTTTTCTTTTGAACACCCCCCCCCCAAAATAAGCACTTGGCCTTATTTTTGGGGAGGTCTTATTATTTTTGAGGTGCAGGAGGCAGTGAGCATGGTCACCTCATGGCTGCTGCTGTATTGCAATATTTTTGGGGAGGGCTTATTTTAGCGCAGTGATTGTTCTCACTGTCAGAAAGTTCCTCCTTATTTCTCGGTTGAATCTCTCCTTGTTCAGTTTCCATCCATTATTCTTTGTCTGGCTTTCATGTGCTTTGGAAAATAGCTTGATCCCCTGCTCTCTGTGGCAGCCCCTCAAATATTGGATATTATCATGTCTCCTCTGGTCCTTTTCTTCCCTAGACTAGCCATGCCCTGTTCCTGTAACTGTTCTTCATATATTTTAGTCTCCAGTCCTCTAATCATCCTGGTTGCTCTTCTCTGCACTTTTTCTAGAGTCTCTACATTTTTTTTTATAGTGTGGTGACCAAAACTGGATGCAGTACTCTAGGTGTGGCCTTACTAAGGCTTTATAGAACTGTATTAGTACCTCACTTGATCTTGATTGACCTATTGGATTGACCTATTGAACAAACTCATGTATATAAAATTAGAATTCTCTCCAAGGAGTTTAGATATGTTAGGCAACCTTGCCTATCCTCACCTCATATTCTTGTATTGGTGTTTACATATGCATAAAAATTCTCCACTCATAAATACAATATATGTGACAGATGCTATTTTTAATTCTGTTCCAGATCTCCTTGGTTTGAAGCCTGCTCCCAATAATGGAACACATGGAAGCTTAAACCACCTCCTCCGGAGCAGTACCTACAGACCCATCATGCCGGAGGAAGTAGCAAGGCCACTCCATCCAGTAGCTACAACACCTTCGTCTGACTACGATCTGGGATGCAGTTGTGACGATAAGGTAAACTCATGATATTCGCTGGGAGCAGGAAGCTCAGAAGGGGATTGTTTCTAAACCAGCTAAGAAACAAAAAAAATTATATATATCCAGAGCTGTGTTTCTCACCCTTAGCAACTTTATGATGTGTGGCCTTCAACCACCAGAATTGGAGAAAAATATCCATCTTTCCTTGCTGATAGTAAGAATGAAGCGTCATTTGAAAACAGTACCAAATTCAAAGCTGGACTTTGAATGAATGTTTCTTAAGAGCGCATTAACGCTGATTATGTGGTCAGAAATGAGGTTATCTCTGTGGGGTTTTTGGTTGTTTTCTTGCAGACATTTCATTACCAAACTAGGTAATATCATCAGTGGGGCTTGCCCTGTCAATGTTGGTGGGAATGTTCTTGGTGATTCTTTGATTAGGTTGTTTACGGATAGCTTGTTTGTCTATGTTAGTAGTTCCTTGATTGGAATATTGTGTACTTCTTGATTGTTGGTTTTGTATTAATCCTGCTGTTAATCTCTGCTTATCTGGGTGTTGATTGCTGGTGGTCTTTTTTTTGGGGGGGGGGAAGGGGGTTGATTGTCCCTTATGAAGGACATGTAGATGTTGATCTCTGGGGCGCATGTGCTGAATGAATGAACAGAATCTGACTGTGTAAAGCTACAGTGAAAATAAGTAGATGTTTGTATTCCTGAGGTAAGTGAGGTAACTGGTGAAGTGGCAGTATCCATCATATGATGTCAGCATGCGGTGGACTTCCACCTGCCAATTCTGGCATAAGCTATATTATATGATGTACTTATCTGACTGGGATATGATGGTTCAGCGGTTAAAAATGCTGAGCTTGTCGGCTGGAAAGCGGACAGCCTGGGTTTGAGACCCGAATGCCACGCAACGGGGCGAACTTCCATTCTTTGCCTCAGCTCCTGCCCACCTAGCAGTTCGAAAGCATGCAAATGCAAGTAGACAAATAGGTACCACTTCTGTGGAAAGGTAACAACGTTCCATGCACCTTTGGCATACAGCAGGGGTGTTAAACTGGTGGCCTGTGGGCCAGACGCACAGGCTATGCCTACCCCAGCTCCACAAAGGGAAGAAACATCACATGACGGCAGGCCTGGGGGTGATGAGTTCCCTCCCCTCTCGACATGTATGGTTGTGCGACTGTTGCCTACTTTTATTATTTGTATTTTGTCTTTTATGTTCCCCCTTTTTCTCCCCTTTGAATTGTTCGCCGCCCTGAGTCCTCCCGGAGAAGGGCGGCATACAAATAATAAAATACCAATACCAATACCAACATGAGGGGGTAAGTTTGACACCCTTAGCAGATAGCACTGCTGGTGACATGCCCTCGAAAAATGTTTTCAGACAATACTGGCTCCCTCGGCCAAGAATGGAGATGGGCACTGTGCCTTAGAGTCAGACTTTACCGGCAGGGAAACCTTTATGTTTACATACCTGAGTATGTATAGCTGGATTTATTTATTTATTTATTTTATTTCTATAGTCGCCCATCTTAACAAGTGACTCTGAGTGAAGGATGCTGGCGAACCGTTTCCAAACCCATTCAACCCCAATTTCCTTGGAGTGGTTGTGTGAAATAGCATGAACTACAGGGACCGAGTGGTCCTGAAAACCCATTTTGTTCTGTCTGATTGCAGAAGTTAGGCGTTAGCTGGTCGAGCATCAGTGGTGGTATTCTACAGGTTTGGACTGGTTCGCCTGAACCGGTAGCGGAAATATCGGGTGGCCCCACCCACCTGCCCCGGCTCTATGGCATCCCATTTAGGTCCCTTTTTTAGCCAAAGTGCATGCACCGAAGCCTGAGCGCATGCGCAGATAGGCACGCGCTCACATTTGTGAACCAGAAGGTAAGGTACTGTATTTTTATATAGTATAAGATGCACCGGAGTATAAGATGCAGCAAGATTTTTGAAGAGGCAAATTAAAAAAAAAGTTTTGCACTCTTCACAAAAACGGGCCCGTTTTATGTCAAAAAAGGGGCATGCATAGCCTTTAGGAGGCTTATAGAGTGCTCCTGTGGGGCGGGGTGGGGGGGGCAAAAACAAGTAAAAATGGCCCTTTTTTTGCTCATTTCTGTCCCCCCCCCAGCCCTCAGGAGCACTCTGGAAGCCTCCTAAAGGCTATGTATGGCCATTTTTTCAAAGGGGGCGGGGTTTCTGGAGGCCAAAAGTGCGTCCAAAAAATACGGTAAGTGAATACTACCCCTGTCGGAGCATGCCTTTCAGTTAAAAAAAGAGTTGCCAGTAACTCTTTTAATAGGACCCAATTGGCTTTATCAGATAATAGAAATAAGATAGAAAGATAGAAATGAGATAATCTTTTCTTGTGTGTGTTTTTGTTTTAAATAGAATAGATTGGATGAACTGAGTCGACGTCCTTATAGCAAAGGAACAGAAGGTAAGGATCCAATAGAAAGTCCAATAAAAGACTGATTATTATTGGTAATCATATTACTGGTGTGTGGGCTTCTCTCTATAATTATGCATTCTAAATCATAATAAAATCAATCTGATTATTTTTTTATTTGTGCATTTCATTGGTGTGATGAGATTCTTAAGTCCTTTGGTAGCTAACCTTTGATGAACGGAATTGCAAAAGCAATTTGATGGTTTCCAACAACATGTGCAAGTACATTTAAATCAGTGAATTGCTTCTGCAAGTTAATCCAATAATAAACTAACTCCTCTTTTCAACCAGCTGTTCTAACTATACTTACCTATGAGCTTTTTTTCCATCCTGTCTTCCCATCTCTTGTTGAATTAGCTCAAAATCCACTTGGTGCAAATTCACTGAGAGATCCACTATGCAGTCTTTATATTAAAGCTGGGCCTAAATGAAGATGTTATAATTTAAGATATTATTCAACAGCGAGAACCTACACAGGAGGAGAAGGATTTAATACCAACGACCCTGAGAATGTATTACCTGAGGATGGATGCGTCCCGCCACCAGGTAATCTTATTTGACTTGGCTTCTTTTTACCTCGTACAATATCTTAAATTATCTCTTGCTTCGTTAATCTAAAGACTGCCTAGTTGATCTTTCCTTTATTTTCCATTTACCAAGGATCCTGTATCCCATTCTGAAGAAAAGCAGGTTTGGATTGTCCGAGCTCAAAAATGTGGAAATAGTGAATTCTTCCTCCCAGCAAGTTTTGGTGGAATGTGTTTAGCAGTTGTGGGTGTGAGAAGACCCATTTCTGTCAGTCCCCGAAAACCAAGACATGTAGAGTTACCGTATTTTTCAGAGTATAAGATACACCGGAGAATAAGACACACCAAGATTTTGAAGAGGCAAATTTAAAAAAAAAAGTTTTTGCACTCTGCAGACCTCCCAAAGGCAGCCTGTTTTTCGTGAAAATGGACTCATTTTTAGTCAAAAAAAGGGCATGAATAGCCTTTAGGAGGCTTGTAACATGCTCCTGGGGGCTTGGGGGGGGGCAAAAACAAGCAAAAAACAGTGTGTTTTTTGCTTTTTTTGCCCTCCCCGGCCCCCAGGAACATTCTACAAGTCTCCTAAAGGCTATGCACGGCATTTTTGCAAAGGGGGCGGGATTTCAGGAGGCCAAAAATGCTGTATTCAGCGTATAAAATGCACCCAGATTGTCCCCCTCTTTTTTGAAAAAGGTGCGTCTTATACTCCGAAAAATACGGTACTTCTAAGTAGCTTATTGTTGTTCACCTACAGACAGAATCTTGACAGACTTAAGCAACTATCTGCATTACTATAGATAGATTCTGTGAACTGCTAGGGAGGGACCATCTTAGCTCTCTTCCTGCCTATCAGACATTCCAAGATCCATGACTTTGACCTCTGGGAGGCAACCTCTCCCTCCTCAGACTCCAAACTATGTTCCACCACAATTTCACATGTTTGCTTCCTTTGTAGCTCAGACATCAATTACTTCCTTCTCCTCCTTTTTTGCATTTTTACATCGACCGATTCTATTCTATTTATATACCGCTGCTATCCACCTGTATTTATGGCAGTTAACATTAGTTAAAAGTCAAAAAGAGCAAGTCTATGCTCGATGGTATTCTCTGACAAAAGAATTCTTGGAAGCTTCAATGTTTGCATGATAGTTTTTAAATGCTCAATTCATAAAACTTGCCTCTACATAATACAATGCAATACAATAGCAGAGTTGGAAGGGACCTTGGAGGTCTTCTAGTCCAACCCCCT